TGTCACCCAGGCTGGAGTGCAGTGGCGCAATCTTGGGCTCACTCCAACTTCTGTCTCCTGGGTTTAAGCCGTTCTCTGCCTCATCTTCCCGAGTAGCTGGGATTACAGGCACCTGCCACCACACCCGCCTAATTTTTTTTTAATTATTTTCATTTTTAGTAGAGACGGGGTTTCACCATCTTGGCCAGACTGGTCTTGAACTCATGACCTTGTGATCCACCCACCTGTGGCTCCCTAAGTGCTGGGATTACAGGTGTGAGCCAATGAACCAGCCAAGTTCCTATATTTCGTATCAAATACAAGAATTATCCTACATGTTTAAGACACAAAGCTTTTTTACTAAATGTTTTTTTTTTTTAAAACACTAGTTTTAGATAAGAGGCTCGGAGAATTACATAAGGAATTGTTAGGCTGGGCACAGTGGCTCATGCTTGTAATCCCAGCACTTTGGGAGGCTGAGGCGGGTGGATCACTTGAGGTCTGAAGTTCAAGACCAGCCTGGCCAACATGGCAAAACCTGTCTCTACTAAAAATACAAACATTAGCTGGGTATGGTGGTCGGTGCCTGTAGTCCCAGCTAATCGGGAGGTTGAGGCAGGAGAATTGCTTGAACCTGGGAGGTGGAGGTTGCAGTGAGCCAAGATCACACCACTGCACTCCAGCCTGAGCACCAGAGCAATACATCTCAAAAAAAAAAAAAAAAAAGGAATTGCTTTTTTGTAACAGCTTTACTGAAAATGTAGATGCAATTTTCATATAGTATTTTCTTCTAAAATAGTCTTTAAAGGTTATAGGTCTGGCCCAGAGTACAGTCCAGTGAAAGTATTTGGGAAAGGACCAAGCTACTGAAATTTTTACTAAATGAATTAGCATTATTGGATTTGAGGATAGAATAATAAATTCCTAAACGAATGTTCCTAAAATGCAGTATTGCAATATACTACTGGGTCGTGATCAATTAATAACTTCCCCAAAGGTAATTATTATTCTGATTATCACCATAATTTAGGCTTACCTAGGAAGAAATGGAATAATGCAATATGAACTCACTTATATCTGGCTTCTTTCCCTTAACATGTCTGTGAGATTCTTCTCATTGTCATTGTACCAATTGCTTATTTTATTGCTATGTAATTTTTTGTATAGTATTATATGAATATGACACTATTCATTTTTTCATTCTCTTGGACATTTGAGTTTTTTCTGGTTATAATCTTCTATGAACATGTCTGCTTGTATCTTTTGGTGGATATACAAACTCATTTCTCTTAGGAATATACCTAGGATTCGAATTGCTAGGGTATAGGGCAGATGTATGTTTATCTGTAAGTAGATGCTGCCCAACAGTTTTCCAAAGTGGTCTGTTTTAAAGATGTCCTTCAATTTGGGGATGCTCGGAATCTCTCCACATAGCATCTTGCAAAAGCAAGGATTCCCTTATGTCTTGTAATGGTTACTAGGGAAGAATGGTAAATAGTCATGTGTCTTTTGCTGTTTTTCTCCTTTCTAGCATCAATTCCTGAAGATTGCCAAGCCTCTCTCCAGCCTCACTCCACTGATTGCTGCAGCAAAGGAGGCAACAAAGAACAATCACTAAAACCACACTCACCCCAGCCTCATTGTGCCAAACCTTCTGTGAAATAAATGCTCATTTCAGAAATTCCAACTCCTGATGCCCTCTTCTCCTTGCCTTGCTTCTCCCATTTCCTGATCTAGCGCTCTTAAGACTTTGATCCTTGGAAACCATGTGTCCAGCATTGAAGAGAACTGCAACTGAATGACTCATCAGATGATGGCCATTTCTAAATAAGGAATTTCCTCCCAATTCATGGATATGAGGATGGTTTATGATCAAGGGTTTATATGAATAAATGTTTCTAGTCTTATTTCCAAATGGCAAAATCCTTACCTCCTTCATAACCACCCCCACAATTAGTTCTTGACTATATAAATTTATGGTTTGATAATATTATCAGTTGAAATTTCTTTAGTGCTTGCTTTTCTGTGACTGAACTGCCCAAACACCTCATTGTACTTGAAAACTGGAACAGCTTGGGAATGCCATGGGGTTTGATAATCTGCCAGGGACATGAAGAGGCTCAGCTTTCTGGACCGTGACTTTGGCGCAGCTGATCCTGACATGGGAGAATAACCACATTTTTCTTCCTGTGTGCTTCTAGCAGCTGTTTGGGAGGACCTTGACCCAATAGTGTTCTCATGCTGTTTCTTGTGAAATGCTCTTGGCTATGTAGCACCTTTTGATTCCCTGCATACCCTAGGCTGCTGCCCCTATCCTGTCCCTTGTTTATAACATTGAGAGGTTTCCTAGGGCACATATTGAGTGAGCAGTGTGAGAAGTCAGGGAGGAAAAAGTAACTACTTTTAGAGCAAGGCTGGGCATCAGCACCTGTCCAGCTCTACTTATGTGATGTTTCAGGAACTCAGAATTTTTTCTATCTGGGATAAGGAGCTGAAAGATTAACTTGGATCTTCTAATGGTCCAAATCTTTTGGTCACAGGAGAGAATCTCCAAATTAGAGACTACATGTTAGTTCTGGATGGATTTGGTGGACTGACATGATACCCTGCCAGCTGTGAGGGGACCCTGTTTTTAAGATGCATGGCCAACCTCTCTGCAAATGGAAATGCTTACACTGGGTGTTGGGGATGTTTGCTACCTCCTGCTATCTTTGTGGTTTTGGTTCTTCCACTATGCTAGGACCCCCGGCCAGCATTGTGGCTTGTCATGTCAGCCCCATTGACTACCTTGTCATGCTCTGAGGTACTACTGCCTCTGCAGCACAAATTTCTATTTCCTTCAATAAAAGGAGATGAAAATATTCTACTTGGAGTATGCATTTCTTTCTTCTCTTTGTTCTTTATTTCCTTTTCTAATGTTTTATATGAAATAATGAATAGTTTCTTCCTGAACCATTGAGAGTGGTAAGTTGCAAATAGGATGCCCCTTTACTGCTACATACTTGAATGTGTATTCTTTTTAACACTTTTATTTTAAATGTAAATTAAATGGTACAAAACCGTTTGTATTGTTTAAATATAAACACACATGTATCCACCAAATCAAGAAATAGAACACTGACAGTAAGAACCTTCTCCATCTTGTCCTTCCCTTTCTCATTATAGCCCCACCCAAGAGGTAACCACTGTCTTGACTTTTATTGAAATATCTTTCTTGCTTTTCTCTATACTTTTATTATATTCAGGTGTGTTCCAATACAAGTAAAGTTTAGTTCTGTCAGTTTTTGAATTTTAAATAAACATATCATAATAGGTATGTTCTTTTGTGCCTATTTTTTTCCACTCGAGATTGTTTTTAAGATATATGTACCTAGTTTGTGTGTAGCTCTAGTTCACACTAGTTTATGAATTTATTATTGCAGTTGTAAGCGCTTGAGAGGAAAGTTTTAACTTGTCCAAGATGAATTCCCTGAGGACTGGCCTCGCAAAGGAGTTGGCTTTCTGCAGAGCTCTATCATAACGGACTACAGCCAACTGCTCAAGGCAGTCATACCTGGTAGAATTCTCAGGTGGCTAATCAGGCCATGGGTCTATCACATCCTACAGCTACAACGGTAAGGCTTGAACCCCAGTTCTTATCACACCAGAAAAAATGCTTCTCAAAGATGGCACAGTGGAGCTAGAGGCCAGTGTTGTGTGGTTTTTGCTTTTGGATCCCAGCACCTAATCATTACTGGAGAAGACATAGTGCTTCCTAGGTATGCAAAATACAATTCCCACAGCTCAATGCCTGGAGTCCTTCTCTGGACTATGATATTTGGGCCCTACTACATTTCTTTGCCCTAGAAGGTGATGGACATTAGAGTTTACACACTGTGGTTAATGTTCCTGTAATCACACATTTCCCTGAATAAAGCAGGCTTCAAGGCCTGGAGTGTATATTGCCTCATCAGCTGCCCTCATCTACTTGATAATGGCAGCAGTAACTGGGTATTATGGAAACCAACCAAGGAATTAGAGAACCAAGATTCACCTTGGGTGAGAAAATGCCCTCTTGACACACGACAGCTGGCCAGCCATATTCAAGGACTGGAATTGTGGGTCACTGACTGGTTGCAGGAACAAAGCCTGCCAAGCCAAGGAATTTAAGAGTTATATTCCTGAGAATGGAGATCTAGGGTTGTGGGATGTCACCCAGGACGCTATTCCAAGGTTGTTTTTAAGAACCTAAGAGTCACCTATGAGAAGAGTTCCACTGCAGGAAAGGCTGAACTACTAGCTCCTCTGATGAAGTTCCTGAGAATCTTAGATTCACTGTGAACAAGAGACTTGAGATAGAAGTTAGTGATGATCTCTTCAGGGATAGAATTCTGTGGTTACTAATGACCTTGGAGGAAGCTGTCTCCCAGGAGGGGTTTATTGAGAATAAGGCTAGATCAGTACCATATGAGTTTAATGTGTGGAATGTGTCCCCTGATGACATGCCCCCTTGTGTGAAGAATGGCATATGACCTTACCTGAGCAGAGCCAATCAAATCGGGCCCTTCCCTGATGTTCTTCCTTTGCCTGTGAGTGAGGAGCAGGAGCAGCTTGAGATGTCACAGAGTTAGTAAGGTGTTGCTTTCCTATAGAGCAAAGACTGGGAAGGCCTAAAGAGGTGGTCTATGTGAGATACAAGAAAGAGATTTAGTACAGTAGTCTCCACTTATCTGCTGCATCACTTTCCATGGTTTCAGTAACAAGATATTTTCAGTAATAAGATATTTTGAGAGAGACCACATTCACATAAGTTTTATTACAATATATTGTTATAACTGTTCTATATTATTATTGTTAATCTCTTACTATGCCTAATATGTTAACCTTTATTATAGGTCTGTATGTATAGGTAAAAAACAGTATATACAGGGTTTGGTACTATCTGTGGTTTCAGACACCTATTGGAGGTCTTGAACATATCTCCTGCAGATAAGGGAGGACTACTGTATAAGGTATTGGCTCTTGTGATTATGGAGACTTACCCTCAGGATCTGCTCTGCAAGCTTGAGACCCAGCAAAGTTGGTGCCATAGTTTGAAGGTTGGAGAGCCAGAGAACTAATGGTGTAGATTCCAGTCTGAGTCTGAAGGACTGAGGGCAGAAGAAGATCAATGTCTCAACTCAAAACAGGCAGAGAGCAAATTCAACCTTCCTTTGCCTTTTGGTTCCATTCAGTCTGTCAACAGAAGGGATGATGCCCTCCCACGTTGGGGCATGCCACCAACTTTCCTCAGTCCACCAAATCAAAGGTGCACCTCTTCTGAACACACCCTCACAGACACAGCCAGAAGTAACAGTTAACTGGACATCTGGACATCCCATGTCCCAGTCAAGTTGACTCATAAAATTAATTGTCACCCTCCTTAACCCCAATTCTAGGTGGAGATAACCCTAGGGAGGAGACCAACTATGTTGACAGCTTTTTGTGTGTGTGTGAGATCATTATCTCACTCTGCCGCCTAGGCTGGAATGCAGTGGCAGGATCTCAGCTCACTGCAACCTCCACCTCCTGGGTTCAAGTGATCCTCCTATCTCAGCCCCGCAAGTAGCTGAGACTACAGTTGCAAGCCACACCCAGCTAATTTTTCTTTTTTGTGTAGAGACAGGGTTTCACCATGTTGCCCATGCTGGTCTCAAACTCCTGAGCTCAAGTGATTCACCCACCTTGGCCTCCCAGAGTGCTAGGATTACAGGCATAAGCTACCACACCCAACCTGAGCTGACAGCCCGTATGCTATGAGGGCTATGAGGTAATGACTTTTAGATCAAGGGGTCAAAAGTGATGAGATTGGTGACTCCTGATGTTTTATTCGGGAAAAAAACCCCAAAGGTACAGGAGTGCCTCCATGCAGTTGCTGAAAGGACAAGTAACAATTGGACGGACAGTTTATGGGTGAGATATAGAAATATAGAGTGATGAGAACCCAAAGACTGTACCCCTCATTTTGAGATTGTGATGGCAAACTAGTAAGTCTGATGAGGACTGAGGAATCACTGATGATCACCCCTCTGGATTCTCAGAGTTGTCTGATTTATTAGGTGTGAAGACAGAAGCAATGGTTGTCCCATGAACTCTCCAACACAATTTAGACTCTAGGAATGACTGTTTACTACCCATTCAGGCAGTGGAATATTCTTCATGCCCAGGCGTCTTAACACATTTCTATATCTTTTACTACCTACTGAATATGAAGGCAAGAGAACCCTGAAACTCTACTCATAGACACTTGTAGCTGGTCTAATTCTATAGGTGTCCTGAATACATTTATTACCTGTGTTAGTTTTCTATTGCTATATAACAAATTACCACAAACTTTGTGGCTTAAAACAACACAAATTATATAGGTCAGAAGTCTGCACAGCATGGCTGAATTTTCTGCGCAGGGCTTCTTCAGGCTGAATGAAATCAAGGTGTTGGTTCAGGCTGTGGTTCTTGTGGGCTGGGAGTCTTCTTCCAGCCTCAATGGTTGTTTGTAGAATTCATTTCCTTACAGTTGTAGGACTAAGGTTTGCTTTTTTTTTTTTTTTTTAGATGGAATCTCACTCTATCACCAGGCTGGAGTGCAGTGGCATGATCTCAGCTGCAACCTCTGCCTCCCAGGTTCAAACAATTCTCCTGCCTAAGCCTCCCAGTTAGCTGGGAATACAGGCATGTGCCACCACACCTAGCTAATTTTTGTATTTCTAGTAGAGACGGGTTTTCATCATGTTGGCCAGGATGGTTCAATCTCTTAACCTCGTGATCCACCTGCCTCAGCCTCCCAAAGGCTTGAGCCGTTGCACCCAGCCAACTAAGGTCTTATTTTCATGCTAGCTTTCAGCTGGGGACTACTCTTAGCTCCTAGTGGATGCCTGCAGTTTCTTGCCACATGGCTCCCGCAGGTAATTCACAAAATGCACGTTTGCTTTCTTCCAGGTTGGCCAGAACATATCTCTTTGACTTTGCTTCTGCAACTAGCCAGAGAAAGCTTTTTTTTTTCTCTAAGCCCTTTAATATTCACTTAAACAGTTGAGGCACAAGCAATAGGAAAACCAGATTTTTTACATTACAAAGAGATTCTGTATGATATCTACATGATATACCAATTTTCTCATAATCTCTTGTGCAATAACATCTCATTAACACTCGGGTCCACGGGTTGATTTAATAAAGTCAGAATGGCAGCCAGGAAGATGGTAAAATAAATTTACTGAGGGGCAAAAGGAACCAAACATTTACTGACTGCCTACTATGCACCCTCTACTTAAAATTTTACATACTTTACATAAATGCGAACCTAAGTTCTAGTTATCAGTTAACAGGTCAGCATTGCTACAGCCAATATGTCAATTATTTAAATGTTCTTTCACTTTAAGTACAAACTGTGGAACAAAACAATGTATCTTTGCCCAAAGAAGCATGCCAACCGTTATAGGAATACATTATTTTCCATTTCCAAAGTTTTTGTCTTTAATAAGTGTGCAACATTAGCACATGGAAACATTCAAGCTGTTTATTACTCCACTGAAATCTGGGTTTTTTTTTTGTTGTTGTTGTTCTCACCTGCTGAGCCCCATTTGGCCAGCATCACTACAATGACCTGATTCTCTCACCTTGTAAAACTTAAGATGGGAATGGATAGTGTTTGGCAGTTATATTTCTGGGAGAAAACAGTGCTGATGTTTTTTCTTTAACTTGACACAGCTAGTTTTAAAAAGTGGTACCTCATTTTAAAGCACCAAAGTTGTCGTTTAAGTAAGAAAAGGTATTTGGCTTAATGAGCTGTAAAATGAAGATATCACTGCCTTTTCAAGCATTACAGCAAAGCCAGTATGTCCAGAGCCAAGTGATACCCAGCTTATACCGCACTTCAGTTCCCAAGGAAATGGCGTTTCTACCCTTCCCAAGTTTAAGCTGCCCCTCACTCCTCTAGCCAGCCCTTATTTTTCTGAGCCCATTATTTCCTTGCTGAGCTGCCTGCCCTTTGCTCCCTTTCCCACCCCGGTTCTCTCTCTAACTGCCCCTATATATACATCTGGGCTGGTGCCTAAGACTTTTTAGCTGCCTGGTTAATCACTGACCAATCACCACTACACTGCTTTGGATTTGGGATCTCACTAGTAAAACTGATTGACATGTTTGTACTGGTCATCCCTCCAAAAAAGCATCCCATGTCACCAGAAAACCAGTTTAAGGGTTCAGGATCACAAACTCTCAAGATACGCGAGAAAAGTCCTCAAATGTGAGTTACCTAGTCTAATAGTATAGGTAAGTTCAGAGATAAAATGTGACTTGCTCAAGGCTGTGAAGCTAATCAGAGGCAGAAACTAAAACTGTTTCTCTTTCCACTACACCACAAAAAACCCGAGGTTAATGATTAAGAAGAGTTGTAGGGGGGCACAAACCAAAATAAAATGCCTAGTACATAGAAAAGGTCTTTGAGATCTTTCCACAGACTTTTAGACAGAATAAAGGCAATCTTTACAATGAGAAATGTTACTCAGTTCAACAGATGCCCCCAAGTACCAATGGTCCTTACTCAGTTCTGAAACAGAATCTGTGACTACGGAGAATATGTCACTATTTGAGAATAAGAGGTCCCACCTGCTCCATTCTTTTCAAGTCTTCAGTCACTAGGTTGCAACTTACTCTCATCATTTAACAAGATGAATTAATCAAGTTTGAAGTAGGATTAAGGAGGTACACTGAAGATAAAAGCAAAAGGCAACAAACATTTTTACAAGCGGATCATCCCAGTTTCCTTAAAAGTTTCAGGTTAATTTGCAGAGAAGTGACAGAACCATATCATTTCAGTGAAAATCAACAAGATAGTTACACCATTTAAAAAAAAAAGATCAATTCAGAAATACTAAGGCAAGCATGCAAAATTCGGAATATAAAAAAATGCAAGGCCTGGTTGCCCACATATGTACCTCAGGTTAAGGTGGATTTAAATATGCCCAATGGACCCCAGTGAATCAGAAGCTGAAAGGAACACTTCAGTGATCAGCAGACACATTCTCTCATGTAACAAATGGAAGAAAAGTGAACACACATGAACTGGCAAAGCTCACAAGACCAGATTAGGGGTGTACATAGATCTACTTCCTGATGCTATTTACAACTATATATATTTAAAATACAAGGAGATAAACACCCAGAACACATTAAGCCCACTGATTTAGACAAAACATTTCAAGACTGATACACAGAAAGAGAATGAAGTTGTTAGCACAGCACAGCAGCACACCTTATATATTTATGTCTAAGAGATTAAATGGAAAGAAATGATCACTCAAAAACTTTAATGCTCAGTTTTCAAAAACACAGTCAAGTCTATCAAATTTCTGGATTTACAGCAAAATGTACAAGCCAAAAAAGTGTACATTCTTCAGTTTTTCCTATACTTTCTTGCTTTTTTTTTGCTTCTCTTTCAAAACTGAGAACTTTATTTTTAACATAAGCCATGTCATATGTACAGTTTATGTTTCAGGAATAAACAAAATCCATTATATTTCAATAACTCATATTATTTATAAAATGAAAAGTTCTCTATCAAAATACATTTTTCACTGGGAAAAATAGAAAAATGGATCTACACAAAGTAGACATTAACTTTGGTAGATTTCAGAGTAGTTCATAAAAAGCATATTTGCTTTTATTCCCCCAGAGCTGCTCAATTATTAATAATTTTAAAAATATTTTTAACTGAGATTCTATGTTGACATTTGTTTCCCATTCCACATCATCTTCAGCCAAGCTCTGAGCACTTAAAATTCTCTAATTGTTGGGAGCTTAGTGAGTAGCATCTGGAACACTGGTGGTGGAAGAGTTTGCTGTAAGACCCACAGTAACTGCTGTGGCTGTCCACTCACAGCAATTCCATTTGTCAGATCATCTACACCCTTCTCATATTCACCTTGAGCTAGTAACTCTTCACCAAAGTGTACTTCTTTAAGGAAGAATTTCTGAACAGCTTCAGCATCTTTAAGGTCAGTTAACTTGGAAAGCCCAGCTCTCTCCTTGGCAAGCTTCTGTTTCTTTCTTGGTTCTCAAAGCCTGTTCTTGAAGTTGGGGTCACTTCATCTCTTGCGGTTGAAGTAGATGCAGTACGTGACAAAAAGGGCCCTGCATACACCAGCAGTGATGGCATGTTCCAACCCACCATCTTCTTTACAAGGCAGAGCATGGACAGTGGTGGCAGGGACAGCGAGGGAGTGGTGGGTCATGAACCCTTAGAGCAGAGAGCCCTACTCAGACCTGATGCCTGTGGGCCAGAGACTCAGAAAGCCAGAGAAAACTTTTAAAGGGCTCATGTGATTAGGTCAGGCACGCCTAGATAATCCCTATTTCTAGGTCAACTGATTGGGGAACTAAATTACATCTGCAAAACCCCTTCACCACAGTACCTAGATTGAATAACTGGGAGAAGGTATGTGTACACCAACAGCTGGGAATGTTGGTGGGTCATCTGAGAATTCTTCCCAGCACACCTTGCAAGGTTCCATCTGGACTCTGGAGTTAGGGGATGAGAAAATAACTGGAGTAGTACAACTGCACTGCAGAGACCTGAACCTAGAT